TTAATTTAGGAGTGATCACAGCGCTGTGTCATCTGTCTCACGGCCAGCTGCCAGGTTTGATTAATACTTTGTAATAAATACATGAATAAAGCACAGTCATACTCAGTTTTGCCCCCGCTGTATTTTTAAATACGCAGTAGAGGTATTTAAAGGTAGTAGAGGACTTGTACCTGTATATAAAAAACGCGCCCTATAGTCCGGTGCGCCTTATGTGTGTGTTAAATACAGAAATGGGACACATAACTGAGAGTGCGCCTTTTAGTCCGGTGCGCCTTATGGTCGTGAAAATACGGTATTTCAAGATCGTTTTTGTTGTGTGGGAAACCATTGACTTTCACTGATTTACATAGTACAACGATTAGCCCCCTCAAGGAAGCACCAACCCTGACTGTGCTGCGCCTGCCTTGTAAAACTACGCTCTCACTTCATCCAGGCCGGAAGCAGAGATGTACGACCATCACTCTTGCTCAAGCGGAGACAAAATGTGTCTTTTAGCAGCTAAGGCCAGGCATATACTGTAGAATAGTTGTACTGTAGTTGTACTCAGCTACAGCTAAAACTGTATGATTAAACTGCAGGGTTTAAAAGTTCCCAGCTAATGATGTATCTTCTTACACTGTACGGCCTGAAGCTCCAATGCGATCTACCTGCTCCAACTATACGTCCAAGAGCCACACGTCGGACTCAGAGCCCAGAGATGGCGCTGGTCAGACTCAATCTGGAACAAGAAGCACTTGCACTGGAAAAACGATCCAGAAATAAGTAAGTAGTAATAAGTAGTTGGTAAATGAGGAAGTTTGCCAATGGAATGAGGATTTTTACTCTTAAAATAAGATAATTTAATAACATGCACTTGAAAAAGACAATCCAATTGAGTTTTCTTATTCTGAATGTAAGTTGTCTTGTTCAATTGGCAACATTTCTCATTTATCTCCTCAATTCAAGAAGAAATGCACTTATTTTAAGAAAAAAAATACGGATCTAGATATCAATTTTTTGAGGCGTGGTCTGCGCTATGTTATTCCACGCCACAACGCAAGAGGGACAATCAGGAACTAGATTTGGGACTAGATACGGCCGAGGCGGTGAGGACTTGTGGGCAAGTTTGTGCAACAACGGAGGGACATGAGGGCCAAAAAGAGCAGAGATTCAGGTGGAAAAAGGGTCCCAGCGTTCTCGCGCACCTCGCTCTTCTAGCTGGTCCATCTCCACCAGTCGTTTTCCACAATGGCGATCATACTAACAAAACAAGCCCGTAAGGAACCAAACAGCAAATAGGCATAGTGTAGAGAGGATATAGATTTGACCAATCAGAGGCCTCCTGTCTGCGGCACTGTCTGTGGTCATCTACAATTTTGGAGAGGTGCAGACCTGGTTTCTGAGTATAAATCAGCTTTTATGCCTGGACTGAAGGTTTTTAAATGCCCTGTATATTTTTCGCCATAGTTATCACAATTGAAAAATAATTCTGATGTATAATTATTTTTGCAAACCATACCGAAAAGGCTTTTGCAAGCCCTAACAACGCTCTAAACTTTGTCTGGTTCAAACTTGTCTCCACTGGTGTGTTAGCCCTGCACGCATGCATTTGTCCGCAGGGGTTCTAGTTGCTGAGTCGTCTGCTGGCTGATTTGTTTCGGTGCTTTAATGTGGGGTGAATTTTGTTTCATTATTAATGTGATTCGTGGACTCGTGTCCTCACCAAGTACGTTCTTGACAAGAACTCAGGAAAGTGTGGACTCGGAGAGAATGCGAGCACGCAGAATAAATCTGGTTCAATTGGAACAGACGGGCTAACGTCAGCCCTGGCCGCTGCAGACGGGCTAACGTCAGCCCTGGCCGCTGCAGACGGGCTAACGTCAGCCCTGGCCCCTGCAAACGGGCTAACGTCAGCCCTGGCCCCTGCAAACGGGCTAACGTCAGCCCTGGCCGCTGCAGACGGGCTAACGTCAGCCCTGGCCCCTGCAAACGGGCTAACGTCAGCCCTGGCCGCTGCAGACGGGCTAACGTCAGCCCTGGCCGCTGCAGACGGGCTAACGTCAGCCCTGGCCGCTGCAGACGGGCTAACGTCAGCCCTGGCCCCTGCAGACGGGCTAACGTCAGCCCTGGCCGCTGCAGACGGGCTAACGTCAGCCCTGGCCCCTGCAGACGGGCTAACGTCAGCCCTGGCCGCTGCAGACGGGCCAACGTCAGCCATGGCCGCTGCAGACGGGCCAACGTCAGCCATGGCCGCTGCAGACGGGCCAACGTCAGCCCTGGCCCCTGCAGACGGGCTAACGTCAGCCCTGGCCCCTGCAAACGGGCTAACGTCAGCCCTGGCCGCTGCAGACGGGCCAACGTCAGCCCTGGCCGCTGCAGACGGGCTAACGTCAGCCCTGGCCGCTGCAGACGGGCCAACGTCAGCCCTGGCCGCTGCAGACGGGCCAACGTCAGCCCTGGCCACTGCAGACGGGCCAACGTCAGCCCTGGCCACTGCAGACGGGCTAACGTCAGCCCTGGCCGCTGCAGACGGGCTAACGTCAGCCCTGGCCCCTGCAAACGGGCTAACGTCAGCCCTGGCCGCTGCAGACGGGCTAACGTCAGCCCTGGACCCTGCAGACGGGCTAACGTCAGCCCTGGCCGCTGCAGACGGGCTAACGTCAGCCCTGGCCGCTGCAGACGGGCTAACGTCAGCCCTGGCCGCTGCAGACGGGCCAACGTCAGCCCTGGCCACTGCAGACGGGCCAACGTCAGCCCTGGCCACTGCAGACGGGCTAACGTCAGCCCTGGCCGCTGCAGACGGGCTAACGTCAGCCCTGGCCCCTGCAAACGGGCTAACGTCAGCCCTGGCCGCTGCAGACGGGCTAACGTCAGCCCTGGACCCTGCAGACGGGCTAACGTCAGCCCTGGCCGCTGCAGACGGGCTAACGTCAGCCCTGGCCGCTGCAGACGGGCTAACGTCAGCCCTGGCCACTGCAGACGGGCTAACGTCAGCCCTGGCCACTGCAGACGGGCTAATGACAGCCCTGGCCACTGCAGACGGGCTTGCATTAGCGCTGGCCGGTGCAGACAGGCTAACGTCAGCCCTGGCCGCTGCAGACGGGCCAACGTCAGCCATGGCCGCTGCAGACGGGCCAACGTCAGCCCTGGCCACTGCAGACGGGCTAACGTCAGCCATGGCCGCTGCAGACGGGCCAACGTCAGCCCTGGCCGCTGCAGACGGGCCAATGTCAGCCCTGGCCACTGCAGACGGGCTTGCATTAGCGCTGGCCGGTGCAGACAGGCTAACGTCAGCCCTGGCCACTGCAGACGGGCTAACGTCAGCCTGGCCGCTGCAGACGGGCTAAAGTCAGCACTGGCCACTGTCAGCCTGGAGAACGGTCAGGTCTGCTCTGATGCATGCTGGGTAAAGAGGGAGGGGCCAGAACAACATAGAGTGACTTTGTCTGTTCTTTGTCTTGTGTTCTTGTGAATTGGAACAGCGCTTGGGCTGAGACTGATCCCGTTTCTCGAGGACACCAGAAAGTACAAGTACACGTACCGAGATAAGGCCATATTGCTGCTCCTAGCTTCTTCCTATCTGACGACATTATTCGGATAGCACTTACTACTGTAACCACGGACACACTTCTGCTTTGGCTTAAATGTCCTTATACGTAACGATTTGAGCCTTATTCTCTCTGAGCATTCCGCTTATGTATTTTAGGGTCTGATCCGAATTAGCAAGCTGTAAATTAGCCTCTGGCCAAAAGCCTAAAGGTCACCGTGTGCATTTCTGCATTGCATTCTTTTCAAATTTCAATTTGCAGAAAGCGTTCTTTGCTTGCAACAATAATGGAAGAAAATTCACGCCATACAGTGTAGTGTTAAGCATAAAGAGGATAAAACATTTGGGGCCAGCAGAACAGAACTATAGTTAAAAGTAGATTTTTTTTAATCACTGAAGCATCAAATACTCATCAGCTTCAACGTCAAATCACTGAACTTTAAGACTATTTGTCTACACACACCCTTTTGCATGTCCTTACATGAAACTTTGCAAAGCACAGAGCTTATTTGTAGTCCTCCTGGCTAACTGCTTCTTCTTAGAAACTCTTCCTGGAAGGTTGCACATGTCATATCATGAATAAAAAAGTTCCACGAATGCTGGTTGGCATGGAGATGCCCTTCTATAGAAATCTGCTGTGAATTTGTGCGGAAATTAATTATTATTCATTGGGTGTGGATAAAACAACCGTCAAATATGATCACTGAATATCAGGAGCCGTTCAAGTAAGAAGCAAACATACACTAAAAAAATGTTTAGAAGTTTCAGGGGCGGATTTAAGAAATTTGGGGCCCAGGTCAAATACAGGCAGGGTGAACCTCTTGTCCCTTTTCTTCTTGTTTTCCTCTCTATGTTTTGTACTCAGCTGACTTTTCATGCTGTCTCTAAAGGAATGAAAGATTTTTTCCAAGCACTAAGCTCACTTAGCTGATTGCTCCTTCCTGTGTTTCCAAAAAGGCCAAAGTAAATAACCCAGTCCTTCTTTTCACTGTAGACAAGCCATGATCTGCTTATCTGTTCTCCATTTTTCATTTGGATGAAATAATAGCTGCATGAATCATGACAGCAGACAAGATAGAGGAGAGCAGGAGGCGGGGTTACCAATCTACTCGCTCTGGAGAGCAGAGTTCGCTGCTTTTAGATGTTGTCTCCAAAGTCTCCAGTAGCAGAAAAAAGTCTCTAGATTTGGCACTAGGAGCTTTTTAGAAATCAAAGTGCTAGAGGGGTCTGAAAAGTGGCTAAATATAGCGACTAAAGCGCTAAGTTGGCAACACTGCTCTTTGCATGGTTTGTTTTCAAACGGTTTGCTGCTGTCTGATTGGACCTTTCTGAACATGTGCAGCAAATGGACTGATCCAATATGGTGGACACCAGAGATGGGGACTCGAGTTTGTGACTCGTACTCGAGTCGCACTTAAGTCGCATATTTAATGACTTCAGACTCGACTTAGACTTGTGTTACAGGTGGTATGGTGGGCGTGGTCCAAGCAGTATAAAAGCAGAAGCTGCAAACTTTCTTAAAAGGTGTCAGTTTCCATGGGACGCCAGGACGTATCTGGGTTCCACAGGTTGTAGATTTGTCAAGAATGTGGGTGAGTGTTTTTAGAGTGTGGGTTATATTGAACTTTTATTATGACAAATGTAAATTTTAACCGTTCTTTCCTTGTTAGGAGGCCCTGCGGGTTTTTTAGACCAGGCTGTGTATACAGGCAGATGAGGGTGGTGTACGCGATACAGGTATTTTTAGAGATTTTAAGGTAGTCATTAAAATAATATTTTGATTGCATTTTTTTTGTAATTTGGTGTTTTCTGTTTGTTTACAGAGATGTTTTTTGTTGCTCCTGCTGTCCTTAGGTTTATGTTGTGTTTCTTTTAGTTAGTCCGACCCTGTTTGATGCTTTTGGTCCCGTTGTTTACTTGTGAGGGCGGACTAACTGTTTTGTTTTTTTATCTTTTTTCATTGATCTGTTTGTTTTCTCCTTGTTCACTCTCCCACGAGGCTGTGAGCTGGTAGACAATGTTATATTGCATCTGATCGTCTGCAGTGCTGAGTGGTGATCGTGTGCAGTGTTTTTTTCACCTGATTGCTGTGAAGCCTTATAAGTGTGCGACTTTGGTTCTGGTTATGCGGGTTTGTCCGCCATCCACTAATGTCAGAGTTTAAATATTATATTGTCTACCCTAGGCTATCAGTTTCATTGAAAGAGGTAAAGGATTTTCTGTCTATTTGTTTAATAAAGAACGTATATTTTTAGGACTGAGTTTGTTTCATCCTTGCGCGGGTGGTTACACTTGCATTTAAAGGACTTCAGACTCGACTGAGACTCGTGATTTCCGACTTGTGAACAATATTTTATTCCAGTGTAAAAACACTTATTCAAGTGTTTTTTGTTTTACTAACTTGACTGATCGCCGCTCGCCTTAACCGCACACAGAAGAGGTAAAAAAAAAACAAAACAAAAAAAAACTCAAAGACCCAAACCGTGAAGCACTCAAGTTCAAGTGTTTTATTTATACAAAAAGCCACAGCAAAAGTGGCATAATAAAACAGTCCTTTTCTTCTCCTAATAAAACCTAAAATTCAAGAGTTTTCCTTAAAAATCAGAGGCTGGAAGTTGGGCTCCGCTTGTTATGCTGCTTCTGGTGCGAGTGATCGGCCTGGAGCACCCACTGGCTGATCCACAGACTCTGCGGCGCTCCAGCACTGTTCCACTCCCTGGCGTGCCAAACCCCTTTCCAGACCGATCCAGCTAAAAAGAGAAGCAAGGAGAACGCCAGCATCCACGCGCCAAAACCCCGTCGGAAGATATACAGGTGCTGGTCATAAAATTAGAATATCATGAAAAAGTAGATTGATTTCAGTAATTCCATTTAAAAAGTGAAACTTGTATATTATATTCATACATTACATACAAACTCATATATTTCAGATGTTTATTTTGTTTAATTTTGATGATTACAAATGACAACAAATGAAAATCTCAAATTCATCATATCAGAAAATTAGAATATTACTGAAGACCAATAAAAACAAAGGATTTATAGAAATGTTGGCCAACTGAAAAGTATGAACATGAAAAGTATGAGCATGTACAGCACTCAGTATTTAGTTGGGCCTCCTTTGGCCTGTATTACTGCAGCAATGCGGCGTGGCATGGAGTCGATCAGTCTGTGGCACTGCTCAGGTGTTATGATAGCCCAGGTTGCTCTAATAGTGGCTTTTAGCTCTTCTGAATTGTTGGGTCTGGTGTATTGCATCTTCTTCTTCACAATACCCCATAGATTTTCTATGGGGTTAAGGTCAGGAGAGTTTGCTGGCCAATCAAGAACAGGGATACCATGGTCCTTCAACCAGGTACTGGTAGCTTTGGGACTGTGTGCAGGTGCCAAGTCCTGTTGGAAAATGAAATCTGCATCTCCAAAAAGTTGGTCAGCTGCAGGAAGCATGAAGTGCTCTAAAACTTCCTGGTATGTGGCTGCGTTGACCCTGGACCTCAGAAAACACAATGGACCAACACCAGCAGATGACATGTCACCCCAAACCATCACTGACTGTGGAAACTTTACACTGGACTTCAAGCAACGTGGATGAAGTGCCTCTCTTCTTTTCCTCCAGACTCTGGGACCTTGATTTCCAAAGGAAATGCAAAATTTACTTTCATCAGAGAACATGACTTTGGACCACTCACCAGCAGTCCAGTCCTGTTTCTCTTTAGCCCAGGCAAGACGCTTCTGACGCTGTCTGTGGTTCAAGAGTGGCTTGACACAAGGAATGCGACAGCAGAAACCCATGTCTTTCATACGTCTGTGTGTGGTGGTTCTTGAAGCACTCACTCCAGCTGCAGTCCACTCTTTGTGAATCTCCCCCACATTTTTGAAGGGGTTTTGTTTCACAATCCTCTCCAGGGTGCGGTTATCTCTCTTGCTTGTACACTTTTTTCGACCACATCTTTTCCTTCCCTTCGCCTCTCTATTAATGTGCTTGGACACTGAGCTCTGTGAACAGCCAGCCTCTTTAGCGATGACCTTTTGTGTCTTGCCCTCCTTGTGCAAGGTGTCGATGGTCGTCTTTTGGACAACTGTCAAGTCAGCAGTCTTCCCCATGATTGTGTAGCCTATAGAACTAGACTGAAAGACCATTTAAAGGCTTTTGCAGGTGGTTTGAGTTAATTAGCTGATTAGAGTGTGGCACCAGGGGCCATCAATTTTGAACCTTTTCACAATATTCTAATTTTCTGATATGATGAATTTGAGATTTTCATTTGTTGTCATTTGTAATCATCAAAATTAAACAAAATAAACATCTGAAATATATGAGTTTGTATGTAATGTATGAATATAATATACAAGTTTCACTTTTTAAATGGAATTACTGAAATCAATCTACTTTTTCATGATATTCTAATTTTATGACCAGCACCTGTATGCCTGTCACCTGCAGATTCCGTTCTCCTTCTCCTTTCCTTCAGACTCCTTTTATGTCGGCTTTAATCAGCCCTTGCTCACACCTGAGCGCAGCAATTACGCAGAGCAATTAATGCACTCCGCCTCCTCAGACAACTACTTCAGTCCAGTGCGCATGGATTGTCACAAGGGAAAAACAAACCAAAACAACCCAGCATACAGGAAAAATTCAAAAGTCTAAAATAAAGGAAAACAATCATATAAAAAAGAAACATCAAAACATGCAAAGCTCAAGAAGAAAATACAAAGAAAAACATGTCATATCTTCCTCTCCAAACATGCAAAGCATAAAACTAACACTTAAATGAAAGAAAACCATAAACCATATTTTCCCCTGTGCAACACACTGACGTCACTGACGCAACAGTACGTGGACGGCAGGATTGTGATTGTTTTTTTTTTCCACAGTCCTCATTTTCAATAAAAGAGCAGACATTTACTGCTAAAACTAGAAAAAGTTGTAACCACAAATGTCAGGTAAATACTGTAAGAAAATGCAAAATTTATCTGGAAAAAATTTTGCGTGTGCTTTTTTTAATTGTATTTTTCATTTAGCAGTTCAAGATAATGATAATTCCATAGATATAATAGCGACCTTCAAGCTATATCATCTCAGTGACGGAGATGAAAACACAAGGAGAAACAAGCAAGCACGCAAATTATTGCACTTTTTTAAATTAATCAAGTGATTAGAATTTATTGTGCGATTAATTGATTATTGCGACAGGCCTTCTCAAGACTTGAGACTTGACTTGGACTTGCAAAAAATGACTTGTGAACATGTCTGGTGGACACTGAAGGGGGACAATTATTGAAGATTTCCAGAGGACTTCACCATTGAAATTCACCAGAGCTATAGTGAAACTGACAATGCCCACGTGCATGGCAGCTGGATGCTGGAATACATCGTGTAAAAGTGAAACAAAAAGAGTTATTCCACCTTTCTGATTCCTGATCCTCCACGGACGGGTTGGTCGTTGGATCGCCAACTTGAAGAGGGAGGACTTGCCATCGAACTTCTGGCCAGAGAAAAAACCCGTAATATGTAGCCAACATTTGGAAGAAGAATGTTTTCAAGATGACTTGGATAATAGCGCGTTGTGACAAACACCAGATACAGCACTGGGACTTGATCAACAGCCGATACCGCACCTTGAATAAATAAAGTGAATTTGATTGGTCGATTATCAAGGGGGCGGGATCGTTATGGTGGAAGGTTCGCAAGCAATTTTGATTGCAGTCGGTTTGTTGGAAGCATCTTGCTAACCAGTTAGCATCTTAGTGCTAGCAGGTTCCCAATGGGAAATTCCATTGGGACCAAGTAGCACTAAATTGGTGACTTAGAAACGACGCTGTCAAGGAACGCTATGGACAGAGGAAACATGCAAGAGGAGGAGAGTTTAGTGTCGGAGGTCGTGGATGAGTCTCCTCCGTCATCCATTTTTTATTTAGAGGAGGAAAGCGGGGACGAAGATGTTGTGGAAGAGGACGCCAGGGCGGCAGAAGCTTGGTTTGGTGTAGAAGGCTTCCAGCCGTCCATGTTTGAGCCCTTGCCTCGCAACGCTGCCAGTTCTGTTAGCTCTAATTCCCGTGAACACTGGGACGCAACTCAATAGGAAAGGAAAGGATTCTGATTTCAACCGTTGCGTATATTAGCTGCGACACATGAATCAAGATGCTATGACCGAAAACATTTGATTGACAGATGACCGTTGGTTATATGATTGGATGAATTTAGGTGTTCACCATCTGGCCTGCAGAAGACAACGGGGAAAAAAAACAGATTCGGACAGGATTTTCTTTTTTTTAAATTGCAATTTTCTAAATTTTGGGATATCGTCTAATAAAGAGTACATTTATATACATGTTTAAGCCAGATTGATTTGCATATAAATATGATTTCCCTACGACTTTACTAGAAAGTCTAAATCAAAAGCCAATTTGGATTTCTTCCAAAGAAACAAGGCATGTTTCACTCGGCACTTCCACAGTTATGTAATAACATTCTTTCCTCTTCTGGAGTCTGACAGCTTGTTGAAGAATTAATCTCAGCAAATTTTCAAAAAGCCTGAAGCCTGGCTGGTATATCATCTTCCTTCCCCCTCTTTTTACAGAGAGACACATGCTGCTTTTTTGTGTATAAATGTGTCCTGGGACTAGTTTTGCTTTACGTGACCTTCTTTTAATGACTTGGTCCTTTACCCTAATTTCATGTTTGTTTCAAGAGTCAGACCAGAACTGGGTCAGAGAGCGTCTAAATAAGCTGCACCCTGAGCCTTGGGGCAGCAGTGTCAGCCAGAGTCCAAACTGACATACATTAGCTGATTAAACCTGGTGAATGAAAAACGCCAAAGAGAAAAGAACAGCTGACTTTGTTCAGGTTTAGAATCACGGCCCTAAATAGTACCTCTAAAGTCAGAACTGAAGATGCT